GTAAAGAAGGAATACTAGAAGTAGGTTTGGTTCCTAAGGTAATAATTCAGAAATAATTTCTATAGCTAATTACTGTCACGTTCTTCTTCTTCTAATAATACGTTATATATATATATATATATATATATTAAACATTTTAGAACTCACAGGAGATGCTTAATTTTCACACTGACAGGGTGACTTGAACTAAAGAGGAAACTGGGAAAGTATATTGTTGTAGAGTTTTGTTGACTTATCTTTCCTCTTTATGGTAAACATAAAAAAACATGAATCCTAAAAGTATATTTCTTTCATTATATTAAGGGTTAAGTATTTAATAGGTAATTGGAAGAATCTATCATTATGCAAAATGTGATAATTTTCAAGTAAGAATTATTGAATCTAACGTAAAGCGATGCATGAAAAATGGCTGGTTAGGCCTGCCTTCGTAACTTCTTTCAAATGTTGTCAGTTTTATGAACTTTCAATTTTTAAGCTTCAGACATCAAATTTTGTGTATATTACATTTTATGTCACTTAACAAGATATATACCTTTTCTACAGCCCTTAAAGTCTACACATATTTTTATAATTATTCTGTCAGCAATTCTTTTCTCAATGAAGAAGAAACTGAGAATCAAAGCTAATTTGTTCTTTCACCGTACCGTTCCCGCTCTTTTCGAGTTCAATGAAAGCCATAAGAAATATAAAAAAAGCCCTGTAAAACTTTTCAACAACTTAAATCAATGGCTCTTTCATTGGATAGACGTTGCGTATAAAGCATTAGTAAAGCTTATATCACGAGTAAACAATGATGAAAAACTGGTGAGACAATGAATTTAATCTTTATAAGTAGAAACGTAAGAAAAGTATACTTGATTAGCTACACTGATGGCCAGGTTAATTTTTAGTTTTGCCCTAAGTACATAGATTACCCCGAGTGCAAGTTATTATTATTATTATTTATTAATTACCAAACACATTTGTTAATGCTTATTTAATTCAATGAACTATTATAGAATAGAGGTAAAACACTTAACACTCAATCTTGAAAATGTTAAAAATATACAATTAGTTTCTTTCTGCTACATAATCACAAGGTTACCTTTGTTGAAAATTAACATGCCTTTTCAAAGTGGAAAATTGTTTAGGAAAGTATCACGTTTTTTTTGTTTTTGTTTTTTAAAGTATAACTTAAGTTATATAATTTAATTTCAAGTTCTGTTTAAGCTAATCGGCTAATCATTATCTTCATTGTGGCAAACATAAAAAGTGAATATTCTAGAACAATCAAATATATCTCAGTGACCAAACTTGTGCGTTAATTCTCTAAAGAAAAAATAACGTAAACCAACAGGAAGTATTTCGGGGATTTCACGAAAAAGAAGAATTATTGCAAAGTTTTAAAATTTAGTCTTAATACAACCACAGTTATGCAGAATGATGCAAAACTCGCGCAACACCGTGATTTTTTTCCCGCACAACTCCATGATTTTTCCTGCCCTTATAATTGCTTGAAATGTGGTCTACTGGCATCACGACACAATAATACTCAGGTTTTTATAGGTTTCATAGTTTATTGTGATCCTCTGCTTTAAATATTTCAGGTTATTTGGACGTGTGACATATAACAAGTATGTGATGCATCTCCATAAGTAGACGGCTAATGATGTAAGATCTGGAGAAAACACAGGATTCACACAGAACAGGATCATTTCCAAACGTTCTTGCAAAGTTAACGAAGTGCCAACTAATTGTTCTAGTAAAAGCAAAAAAGCATGGTTTAAACAAAAATCATAGGACTTAGGAATATCATAGCCAGCACGACTTTTCCATCACCCTCTCACGTTTGGTAGAATTGTTAATCATTAATAACCCAACTTGTAAAAATCTAATTTGTTCTTCCCTATTGCTGAAGATAGTACTTAAAGCACTTTGGTTCACTAACACCAACTTGAGTAATAACGTAATGTAAGAAGTTGAAATTGAAGTATGATGGTAGTATGCTATATCTGTGGATAACAAATGGAACGCTTTTCTTGGCCAATAATAATTAAAATTATTTTGACCATACAGGTCTTACCAGATTAGCATTGAAAATCTGTATGACAGATTGTAAAATAAGATAGTATGCTATCAAAGGTACTTGAGCCCACGTTTCTAACGTCGCTGCCCATCTGACCCATAACTAATTTAAAACATATGAATATTTCTAATTACTTAAAAGCTCATATGACTTACAGAAAATATGCTCATCAAACTTTACCCAGCATCGGCTCCCCAGTGGCTCAGCGATAAATCTGCAGGCTTACGACGCTAAAATTCGTGTTTCGATATCCGTGATAGGCAGAGCACAAATAGCCCATTGTGTAGCTTTGTGCTTAACAATAACCAACCAAGTAACAATTAACCAGCATCAAATCCCCTGTTATTCAAAAGCTTAAAAAAGCATTAATACACACAAAAACGGGTTCCTCGCAAAATTATAACACTCACATAACACTGTCCAACAGTCTAAGGTCAGCACCAAACTCATAGTTATTAAAAACATTCATAAAAATCATACAAAAATGCATAGCAACGTCAAGTTATCACTGAACTGCAAATGTTCATAAAACTCAGTATAACACTATCCAACAAACTCAGGCCAATATTAAACTACAGGGTTGTCCAAGTTCATAAAAGTCACAATACACTGTCCCACCAAACTTAGGTCAGCATTAAAATTTTGACTCTTCATAAACTCATAAAACTTTAACATAACTTTCCACATTGGCCAAACTAACAATAAACTATGAATTCTTCACGAGCTTATTAAACTTTAACACCATTGTCCACCAAGCTCAGGTCAGTATTTAATGTGCATTCTTCACAAGAGGAAGTCAGTATTAAACTATTGAATTTTGAGATGCTCATAAAACTGAAATACCATTGTCCACCAAGCTCAGGTCAGTATTTATAATGGATTCTTCACAAAGTGAGGTCACTATTAAACTACTGAATTTTGAGATGCTCGTAAAATTGAAATACCTTTGTCTACTAAACTCAGGTCAGTATTTAAAGTGTATTCTTCACAAAGTGAGGTCAGTATTAAACTTGATTCTTGAGATACTTATAAAACTCAAACACCATTGTCCACCAAGCTCAGGTCAGTATTTAATATGGATTCTTCACAAGGTGAGGTCAGTATTAAACTATTGATTCTTTAGATGCTCATAAAACTCAAACACTACTGTCTACCAAGCTCAGTTCAATATCAAAGTGCTTATGCTTCACAAGCATATAAAGTAAACACATATTGTTGTTCATCCACATAACGTTAACAACAAACATATAATACTGAGCAATATACCTTTTAATTCAAGCTGATGTATCGATCAACTTTCCATTATATTAATTTCTATGGGCATTTATAACTAGATAGTATGACGCTACTACTTTTTCCAAACAAGACACGAACCCTGCTCTCCCGGCTGTCTGAGTTCAAATGCCCTGCAGAATAGAACTCACAAAATCAACACAATTTTGTCATTATTAAGCTGAATGGAACATATACTTGTGCAGGTATGAGATTGGTAGCTGTAATAAAATATCGCGATGGAAGTATGTCAGTTACAAGACTTGTGTCTAGAACAGTGGTTCCCAACCTGTGGTCCGGAAGATAATACCATCTCATTAAACAAGTAAGTTTTTTAATTCTGCTGTTCGTTTAATTGCAGACTCAGTTATATATGTCTTTTATTTGATAATGAAAAATGGAAAAACAAGTTAATTATCAGTAAGAAAAACAGTTTGTTGGGTAGATGGAATCTTTAAAAAAACATGGGGGTCCTTGGTGGTGAAAAGGTTGGGAACCGCTGGTCTAGAATGTGATTATAAATTTAGATCAACTGATATGTATATTGGTAATGTATAGAAGTATGTAAAGTGTAAGACTTTGCTTAGGATAGAGCTACGTCTTAAATCTAGTTTACACACATACATTATAGTTAGAAATATGAGTTGCATGTCATTTAATGAATTGATACATATATATATATTTATAACATTTATAATAGAAAACAAGCCTTAACAGAAATACTGCATTATATAACCGAAACACTAAACTAACCTTAACAGAAATAAGGCATTACATAACCAAAACATAAA